GACTGCGCATGCTTGGCACAAATGGCCCCTGGGACCCCTCGGTGTCGGATGGGCCTCCGCGAGGACCGTTTTCGGGGCGTCTTGCCCCCACGTCAGCGCTGCGTGTAAAATGTGTTGCTTGAGCTTGCTTAGGGCCAATTTTCCTCCTCCTCTTCCTCGCTCCTCGCTCCTCGCTCCTCCTCCTCCTCCGCCTCCTCCTCCGCTTCCTCCTCCTCGCTCCTCGCTCCTCCTCCTCCTCCTCCGCCTCCTCTTCCTCCTCCTCCTCGTCATCGTTTTTTCGAGGATGTCTCGAGTGAGAGCTCCATGTTGAACAGAAGACGCCTTGAAGCAGGTAGTCTACCATCTCATTTGTTCGCGGCTGTCTCGATCGAGAGTAGATCGCATATTTTTTCTGAGGATGTCTCGAGCGGGAGCCTCATTCTTAAACTACAGCGTCTTAAACCACGTCCTCGAAGATCTCGCTTGTTCGAGGATGTCTCCAGCGAAACGGCTGTTTTTTGGGGGGCCCGCAAAGCGAACAACTTTTCCGAACATGCGCTGTAAGCGCGTGAATGCGAAGAACGTTGCAAGAACGAACGTTCTCCGTCTCCAAACCCTCCGCCTCCCGACTCGCGTTCCCCTATGTCAGGTCGAAAGTACGTTCCACACGAGTTCAGAAGAGGCACAACGCCCCCCGGCGCATCTCGGCATTATCCGTTTCCACGCCCGCAACCTCCCCACTCGCGTTCCCCGATGTCAGGTCGTGTTTGCGTTCCGCGCGAGTTCAGACAAGGCGCACCTCCCACTGGCGCTTCTCGGCGTTGTCCGCCTCCAGACCCCACCTAAAGTACTTTCCGCGCGAGCTCCGACGAGGCGCGCCCCCCGCTGGCGCACCTCGGCTTTGTCCGCCTCCAGCCCCGCAGCCTCCCCACTCGCATTCCCCTATGTCAGGTCGAGTTCACTTCCTGCGCGGGTTCAAACGAAGCGCCGCCCCCGCTGGCACATCTCGGCATTATCCGTCTCCAGACCCGCAACCTCCCCACTCTCGTTCCCCAAGTCGACTTTGCTTCCCGCGCGTTTCAGACGAGGCGCACCCCCCGCTGGCGCATGTCGGCATTATCCGCGTCCAGACCCCCAACCTCCCCACTCGCGTTACCCAAATCGACTTTGCTATCCGCGCGAGTTCAGACGAGGCGCATCCTCCGCTGGCGCACCTCGGCAGGACGTGAATCCAACCCACCAACCTCCCCACTCGCGTTCCCCATATGTCAAGTCGAATTTACTTCCCGCGCGACTTCAGACGAAACGCACCCCCCGCTGGCGCATCTCGGCATTACCCGTGTCCAGACTCCCAGCCTCCCCACTCGCGTTCCCTCAAACCAAACGGCGATTACTGTCCGCGCGGGTTCAGACGAGGCGCACCCCCCGCTGGCGCATCTCGGCATGATCCGTCTCCAGACCCGTAAACTCCCCCCTCGCGTTCGAGCATGTCAGGTCGAATTTACTTTCGGCACGAGCTCTGACGAGGCGCACCTCCCGCTGGCGTATTTTGGCATTTTCCGTCTCCAGACCCGCCCCCCCCCCCTCGCGTGCCCCTGTGTCAGGTCGAGTTTACTTTCCGCGCGAGTTCAGACGAGGCGAACCTCCCGCTGGCGCATCTACGATGACGACGACGACGACGACGACGACGACGACGACAACGGCGACGACGACGGCGATGATAACGACGACGATGGCGATAACGACGACAGTGACGACGACGACAATGGCGAGGAGGAGGACGACGACAACGACGATGACGATGATAATGACAACGACGACGGCGACAACAGCGACGACGACGATACAACATGTGATGATGGACGGGGCGGAACGCATACGTTTGAGCAAATTTGTTGAATCACCTTTGTTGTTTTTAAATAGTTTGCATCTTGGGCCTTCTTGGGGGTCCTCCAACTGATGCCTCCACTATGTCGTAAGACAACTTATTGCACATCGCATTGTTCGGAGGATGTCTCAGGCGGGAACATCACTTTTGAGAATACTGCGAATTCGCAAGATCCCTGGACATCTCCGTTTTCCGGGGATGTCTCGGACGAGAGGTGCAGTTTTAGCATACGATGTCTAATCACAGCTCTTTCGGCGATTACTTTGCTGAGGATGTTTCAGGCGGAACGCCCATTTTTGGAGATCGGCGAATTTCGCGAAAGATTTCAAGATCTCAAGTGTTCGAGGATGTCTGCAGCGAGAGCTTCATGTTTAGCACTAAGCGCCCGAACATTTCTTGTCACGAATGGGAAGCGCATGAAAGCGAAGAGTTTTACAAGCGCTTGCAACATAATCACGATAACATGCTAGCTCATCTCTGCACTATCCGTCTCCAGACCCCACCTCACCACTCGAAATCCCTTATGCCAAATCGAGTTTACTTTCCGCGCGAGTTCTGACGAGGCTCACCTCCCACTGGCGCATCTCGGCATTACCCGTCTCCGGACCCACTGGCATTATCCGTCTCCAAACCCCCTATCTCACCACCCGCGTTCCCCGATCCCAAATAGAATTAGCTTTCCGCGCGAGTTCAAGCGAAGCACACCCCCGCTGGCACATCTCGGTAGTATCCGTCTCCAGACCCCAATCTCTTAACTCGCGTTCCCCGAATCGACTTTGATATCCGCGCGAGTTCAGACGAGGCGCACCCCCCGCTGGCGCATCTCGGCATGAGATGTGTCCAAACCCCCAACCTCCCCACTCGCGTTCCCCATATGTCAGGTCGAATTTACTTCCCGCGCGACTTCAGACGAAACGCACCCCCTGCTGGTGCATCTCGGCATTATCCGTGTCCAAACCCCCAACCTTCCCAAACGCGTTCCCCCATTTCAGGTGGAGTTTACTTCCCGCGCGAGTTCAGACGAAGCGCACCCCCCGCTGGCGCATGTCGGCATTATCCGTGTCCAGACCCTCGACCTCCCCACTCGCGCTCCCACATGTCAGGTCGAGCTTATGTTTCCGCACGAGTTCAGACGAGACACCTTCCACTGGCGCATCTCGGCATCATCCGTCCCCAAACCCGCAACCACCCCCCAACGCGTGCCCCTGTGTCAGGTCGAGTTTACTTTCCGCGCGAGGTCAGACGAGGCGCACCTCTCGCTGGCGCACCTACGATGACGACGACGATGACGACGGCGACGACGACGGCGATGATGCCGACGGCAATGACGATGACGACGACAGTGACGACGACGACAATGACGAGGAGGAGGAGGATGACGACACCGACGATGACGATGAGAATAGCAACGCCGACGACAATAACGACGACGACGACCGACGACGTCGATGCAATGTTTGATGATGTATCGAACGAAACGCATACGTGTGAGCGAATGTGTTGAATCACCTGTGTGTTTTCACACAAAACAGATGTTCCAGCTTGGGCCGCCGTGGGGGTCCTCCAACTGATGCCTCCAACATATGTCGTAAGACAGCGTATCGCACATCGCATGTTTCGGAGGATGTCTCAGGCGGGAGCCTCATTTTTTGAGAATGCGACGGATTCGCGCGCTCCCTGGACATCTCCGTCTTTCGAGGATGTCTCGGACGAGAGCTACATGTTTAACATAAGACGTCTAATCACAGGTCTTTCGGTATCCATGTGCTTCGAGGATATCTTAGGCGGAACGCCCATTTTTAGAGATCGGCGAATTTCGCGAGAGATTTCAAGATCTACACCATGGTGGGGGGGAGGGGAGGGTACGAGGGCCCGCGCCGATCGGCAAAACAAGGAAAAAGAAAGCGACGACTTGATGTTCCGTCGATGTTTGAAGGATCTGTCCCCAATCAGGCGTTGCCTACGGGCTGCTTCCTTGTTTCCGAAGGCCAGAGGGTGCCTGGCGTGGGCGGCCAGCGTTCCTCGGGGGTGCCTGGCCGTGGTTTCTCACCCTGGCCTTTGTTCTTGCCGTGGCCATCCCCGGGGTTGCTCGGTCGTGGGTCCTTCCTGTGGCGTTGCCCAGGGCTGCTAAGTCCTGTCTCTATACTGCACGCCCCTTGTGTTTAATGGTTTCTCTTTGCTGCATCTCCCGCGTTGCTTAGTTCTGCTTCCGAGCAATACCAAGCAACAGCGTACAAAGCAAAGCAACGTCGAGCAACGCCAAGCAATGCCAAGCAACGCCAAGCAATGCTCACCAACGCCAAGCAACGCCAAGCAACCCTAAGCAACGCCGAGCGACGCTTAGCAACGCCGAACAACACAACGAAACGCCAAGCAATGCAAAGCAAAGCAACGCCAAACAACGGCAAGCAATATCAAGCAACGCTAAGCAATGCTAAGCAATGCGCCAACACAATAGGAAACTGTCCCCTGAGGTCGCGCTGGGTTCATGGTGTTCTCACCTTTTCTGGCTCTTCACGCTCCCTGACGGCATAAGAGGCTCCCAAGATCGACTCAAGACGGCCCAGGAGGCACCCCAAAGGGCTCCCAGACGGCCCAAGGGGGGCCCCAAGACGCCCCAAGAGACCACCAATACAGTCGCCCCAGAGAGGCCCCTCAGAGGGGGAACACAAACCGATATTTCGAACCCTCCGCCTCAAGACGAACTCTGAGACCGCCAGCAGGCCTCAAGAGGCCCCTCAGAAGCTCTAGGAGGCCCCCAAGAGGCCCAAACCAGGCCCCAAAGACACCCCGAAATTGCATCCAAGAGGCGTCCTGGAGGCCTTCCAGTGATCCCCACAGGCATCCAAGAGGCTTATGACCCACAACCAAAGTGCGGTCGCGGGATGGGCCGGAAGGCCACTGGACATTTTTTGTTTCACTCGTCACTCCTGCGAAGCGGCTGGGGGTGTGGAGACCCTTCCGGCACTCAGGTATTGCGAGACCATGTGATAGTGAGGCAAATAAGTGATCGGGCAAAAGTAAGTTTGCTCTCGGCACAGGGCCCGGAACAAACAGACTGCAGAGGCGTCTCACCTATTTGTAGTACCACAGGTTCACTTGCTCGAGGGGGTCAGCGGTTAGGTTGTATAGCTGGATCTCCTCGTAAAGGGCCGGGTAAGAATTGCCCACGTAGCTTGCAAGATCGGTGGCAGCCGAGGACAAGGTCGAGATGACGGTGAAGTTGTGCACTTTAGAGATCTCGTCTCGGATGACGGCCGTGGTCGGGGTCGTGTAGAACTTCAAGAGGTCTCTTGTCACGAGCACCCTGTCGAAGTAGGACTCTGCGTGGACCCCCTCGCGGTTCAGAGAGCCCGCCCCAGCGGAGGCCAATGACGCCCAACTGAGCCCGTCTGCGGGGATCTTCATGGAGCCTCCGGCCCACGTCAAGAATGTCGGCGCCAGGTCGACGTGGGAGACCACCTCGTCCACGCGGGCGCCAGCACGGATGCCCGGGCCAGACGCGTAGAGCGGCACTCGGATCCCCAGGTCGTACAGCGAGAGCTTGGCCGACCCGTGATCCGTCGATATGACGATGTATGTGTTCCCGATGGCAGCCCGCTCGGAAAGAAAGTCGTAGAGTACCCCCAGCGACTCGTCGAGCCAGCGCAGGGCCGCCAGCGAGGCCCTGCAAGAGCCCACCCTGGAGATGCTCGAGATCTCGAGGACGCTGTCCCAGATGTCCTTTCGTGACGAGAGCTTGCAGGTGGAACAGTACTCGGAGACGTTCGGATATCTCGCCAAGGTCCCGGCCGGGGTATCAAACGGAGTGAAAACACCTAGCAGCGAGTCTTGGACTGTTGGGAGGTGCGCCGGAGTCGCAGCAAAGTACAGAAAGAATGGCACCTCGTCGTGCATCGCACTGTCCATGAAGCGGAGCGCGTTGTCCAGCATCCACTCCATGTTGTGACTGAAGGTGGAGCAGATGGGGTAGGTGCATGGCACATGACTGTGATGTACAGGCCATCGACAAAATCCCAGCCTGATTTCCTCACTGCGTCCGTCTGTGTCGAGTAGGCGTCAACGTAACCCCCGCCCTCCTCGGTCGGGGTCAGATGCCACTTGCCCACCATCCCTGTCTTGTAGCCCAGGCCCCGCAGTGCGGATGCCACGGTGTTCTGAGTGTCGCTGTACCCCGCACCCAGCAGACTGTGCCAGTCGACAAAACTTTCGGACACGTCAGGGAAATATGTACTCCAGTAGTTCCGTCCATACTCGCTGCGGGAAGGATAGCGTCCGGTCATGATGGAATAACGTGAGGGTGTACATGATGGCGAGCTGGTGTACGCCCTCGTAAAAGTGACGCCAGACTGTGCTATCCGCCGACCCCTTCGGGGTCTCCTGGTGTGTGGTCAGGGGGGGCCGAACTCGCAAGAGAAAGGTCGCAGCCAACTTTGCCCGTGTGGCACCGGGGGTCCACTGTCAAAACTGCTAGGATATCGGCGCCGGGTGGGATTTCAGCCGCCCCGATGAGCAATTTGAGGGCCCAATGTCAGATGTAAAACAGGGCTAGGATCGGGATAACTCGCTCCAGAGCGTTCCGGAACGCTCTCAGAGCGTTCCGGAACGCTCTGGAGCGGCCGCGGCGCCCAATACATCCTCCAAACCCGCCGATTCTCAGAGATTTCGAGTTATCCCGATCCGATTTTGTCCCGATCTTCGCGTCGTTTGAAGATGGGCAATCGGCGACGGGTAGGAGTTCCCCGATTGCCGGTTCTAAGGGGCCCCGTTGACACATGGGCGGTCGGTTCCCCCGGCCCAGCTCGGCACCCCCGATGGGTCGTTTGACAAGGAGGGGCCCATTGTCAAGTGAGCGACAAAAACGTCCATCTCACTGTCAAGTGTCAATGTCAACGATGCCAATGTTAGAAACAAAAAAACTGAACAAATGCCCAAAATACCCAAAAAGTAATCCCCGGACTATTTTTTGGAATATGTTTGCATATTCCGCCTGTAGAGGGACAGGCCCGACTTAACACTGCCTTCCGCCGCCCCCCGACTGGTCCTCTGACAGTGGGGCCTCGCTGCCAGAGGGGCCATCGGAGCTCCGTTGCCCCGCCCGCGCCGGTGCCTCCGACTGGTTGCCTGGAGGGGGTGCGGCGTAACGCTACCGCTGGCGACGTTGCAGTCCACTTCAGCTGCCCGAGCCCTTGCTTTCAGGCCCACGTCTACCGGAGATAGCAGTCTCAATCATGGGCGCGAGGAAACGCTTTTCCTCGAGTGCAGCCGTGGTGTCACTGAGGCCACATGGAAGCAATGATTGAAAAAAGCTGGATCGATCCTTCAGATAAGGCCCAGTGTGACTACGGGCGGATGGTGATGGGCCTGCTCTCCACCACCACCACCACCATAGGTTGGAGGGGGGAAGGAGGAGGAGGAGGAGGAAGAGGAGGAGGAGGACGAAGAGGAGGACGAAGAGGAGGAGGAGGAGGAGGAGGAGGAGGAGGAGGAGGAGGAGGACGAAGAGGAGGAGGAGAAGGAGGACGACGACGAAGACGAGGAGGAGGAGGAGGAGGAGGGGAACCCCCCTCCCTCTCCCACCCGTGGTGGAAAACAGGCCCATCAGGTGGGGACGACGACCAGCCGAGACCACGGCGGCCCCCCCGCCCGACGCCGCGCCGCCCACGGTCGGCCCCCGCAGACCTCGCCCGCGGGGCCGAACCTCGACGGTGTCTTTCGTCTTCGTTTTTTGTTTTCGTCGTCCCTCGTTTGTTTTCGTTTCGTCTTCATTCCGCCCGTTTTTTGGTCTGCGTTCTGTCTGTTGTGCTTCGTTTTTTGTTTTCGTCGTCCCTCGTTCGTTCTCGTTTTGTCTTCATTCCGCCCGTTTTTTTTTGTCTGCGTTCTGTCTGTTGTGCTTCGTTTTTGTCTTGTTTTCGTCGTCCCTCGTTTGGTTTCGTTTTGTCTTCATTCCGCCCGTTTTTTTTTGTCTGCGTTCTGTCTGTTGTGTTTCGTTTTTGTATTGTTTTCGTCGTCCCTCGTTCGTTTTCGTTTTGTCTTCATTCCGCCCGTTTTTTTGTCTGCGTTCTGTCTGTTGTGCTTCGTTTTTGTCTTGTTTTCGTCGTCCCTCGTTTGTTCTCGTTTTGTCTTCATTCCGCCCGTTTTTTTTGTCTGCGTCCTGTCTGTTGTGTTTCGTTTTTGTCTTGTTTTCGTCGTCCCTCGTTTGGTTTCGTTTTGTCTTCATTCCGCCCGTTTTTTTTTGTCTGCGTTCTGTCTGTTGTGCTTCGTTTTTGTCTTGTTTTCGTCGTCCCTCGTTTGTTCTCGTTTTGTCTTCATTCCGCCCGTTTTTTTTGTCTGCGTCCTGTCTGTTGTGTTTCGTTTTTGTCTTGTTTTCGTCGTCCCTCGTTTGGTTTCGTTTTGTCTTCATTCCGCCCGTTTTTTTTTGTCTGCGTTCTGTCTGTTGTGCTTCGTTTTTGTCTTGTTTTCGTCGTCCCTCGTTTGTTCTCGTTTTGTCTTCATTCCGCCCGTTTTTTTTTGTCTGCGTTCTGTCTGTTGTGTTTCGTTTTTGTCTTTTTTTCGTCGTCCCTCGTTTGTTTTCGTTTTGTCTTCATTCCGCCTGTTTTTTTTGTCTGCGTTCTGTTTGTTTTGTTTCGTTTTTGTCTTGCTTTCGTTGTCCCTCGTTTGGTTTCGTTTTGTCTTCATTCCGCCCGTTTTTTTGTCTGCGTTCTGTTTGTTGCGTTTCGTTTTTGTCTTGTCTTCGTTGTCCCTCGTTTGGTTTCGTTTCGTTTTTGTTTGTCTTCGTTTTGTTTTGTGTTCGTTCTGTCCTCATTCCGCCTTCACCGCAGAACGGGGCTGAAACGAGGACGGCCCACGAAGTCGCCCAAAAACGCCGTTGAGGTCCACCCCTGGCTCCTGAATCCGCCCTCGCGGTGCGGATCCGGCCGTGGCGAGGAGAAGCCTCCAGGAGGTCCGAAGAGGGAGAGAGACGCCAGGGAGGACCTCAGCTGTCTCGATTGGCCCTGTCGTCGCTGGCTGAAGAGCTCTCACGGAACTCGTTCTGGCCGTCTTGGGGCTACTCTGGCCCCCTAAGCCCCCCCCCCCCCCCCTTCGTTCCCGGCGCCAGGCCACACCCGTCGACCACAGGGTGGCGGGCCCTTTCTGGGCTCTGAAGACTTGGCCAAATCGGGGAATACATGCTTTCGGCGGCTTCGCCTTAATGCGGTCCCAAGCTAACCTCAAACCGGCGAACGGTTGCCCCGACACGGCCCACGATGACCACACGACAGCACAAGAGCCCCCCAAGACGCCCCAAGAGGGCTCCAAGAGGACCTCCAAGTGGGCCTCCAAATGCAAAAAACATTATTTGGCGCTCTCGCCTTTCTGACTCTCGGGAGCCCATGATGGCACAAGAGGCTTCCAAGGTGACCCCAAGACGGCCCAAGAGGCCCCCAAGACGAAACAAGAAGGCCCCAAAGATGGCCCAAACAGGACTCCACAAGAGGGACCAAGGCGGCCCCAAGAGGTCCCCCAGGAAGGCTTTCGAAGGCGCCAGATGGACCAAGAGCGCTCCAAGACGCCCCAAGAGGGCTGCAAGAGGACCTCCAAGAGGGCCTCCAGATGCAACACAATTCATGACTTGGCGCTCTCGCCTTTTTGGGCTCTCGGGAGCACATGATGGCCCAAGAGGCTTCCAAGACGGCCCCGTGACGGCCCAAGAGGCCCCCAAGACGGCGGCCCAAGAGGGCCCCAAAGATGGCCCAAACAGAGCCCCAAGACGGAACAAGAGGCCCCCAAGACGGCACAAGAGGACCCCAAGAGAGACCAAGGCGGCCCCAAGAAGTCCCCCTGGAGGGCTCGAATGCGCCAGATGGACCAAGAGCGCTCCAAGACGACCCCAAGAGGCCGCCACCCCTCCGAAGCCTCCAAGGGGCCCCCAAGAGGCTTCTAGGAAACCGCACAATACCTTGACTGAAAGTGCTCCAAACGTGCACCCCGCGATGCAAGATGAGTCCACTTCCGGAGGTGACGTGTTGCTGGAGGCAAGTCGCAAAGGCCCTGATGCAACATATCCTGTGTGTCCAAGCACACGTATACATACATGTCTCGCTACGTTGTCTAATTTGCCATTCTTATTTCACACCTGATCCCGCCACCAGAGTCACGCCACATCCGTCGAGTCCAGGGTGGCGGGCCTCTTCTGGACCTCAAGGAATTACACAAACTTCGATTTGGAAATCAATAATTGCAGTATCTTGTGCTTGAAGGTCGATGAGGGCCACGAAACGGCCCTCCATGGTCTCAAGATGACCCAAGAAAATTCCAAGACGGCCCAAGAAGGCACCAAAACAGCCAAAGAGGCCGCAAAGAAGGCCCAAAGAGGCCCTCAAGACGGCCCAAGAAGGCTCCAAGAGGACCCCAAACAGAACCTCTGGAAGAACTTAGCCTGGCGAAGGACCCAACCATATGAAGCTGTGAGCACCGCTGTCATGAGTATCATCTTCGGTGGCGCTCCCTATGTGGCCACGAAGCGTGTGAGGGGTGTAGCGAAATGGGTGTGGCGCACGCAGGTGGACGGTGCCACTGGGGCCTTGGGTGGAGCTCCCCGTGGGACCACGAAACCTGTGATGGGTGAAACGTGTGAGGAGTGTGCTGACATGGGTGTGGCGGACGCATGTGGACGGTGCCACTGGGGCCTTGGGTGGAGCTCCCTATAGGGCCACGAAACTTGTGAGTGGCGTGCCGAGATGTGGTGGACACATGTGGACGGTGCCTCTGTGGCCTTCGGCCCCCTATGGGGCCCGTGAAGCATGCGAGGGGTGCGATTATGGTGATGATGACGATGATGATGTTGATGATGACGATGACGGCGATGATTGTGACGATGGTGATGCTGATGATAACGACGACGATGACGATGATGACGACGATGATGCTGATGATGCTGATGCTGCTGATGCTGATGATGCTGATGCTGATGATGCTGATGCTGGTGCTGATGATGACGACGCTGATGACGATGGTGGTAATGATGATGATGCTGCTGATGATGATGATGCTGAGATGAGGAGGGGGGGCAGCGGGAGGAGGAGGAGGAGGAGGAGGAGGAGGAGGAGGAGGAGGAGGAGGAGTGAACGCGGGGACCGCCTCTTCGGAACGAGGACCCAACACCACAGGATGGCTGGGAAAAACAATAGCCTGGCGAGAGACCCAACCATCTTAGTAACGCAGCTGTGAGTATTGTCTTCGGTGGATGGGCGACGCATGCAACCACTACCACTGGGGCCCTCGGTGGAGCTCCCCAGCCCGGCGCTGCTGGTTCAGACCGCGGGCCCAACACCACAGGATGGTTAGGGGGAAACAATTGTTCCCTTATCATCTGGGCAGATATTGGCCTTCTCGCCTTCTCAGGCTTCGGACACCCCAGGACAGCCCCAGAGGCTTGAAAGATGGCCCCACGCCGGCCCAAGAGGCCCCTCAGAGGGCCCCAAGAGGACCCAAGAGGGCCCCGAGGCGGCCGAAGGAACACCGACGACGGGCCAAGATAGCTCCAAGACGGCCCAAGACGCCCCCCGAGACGGCCCGTGAGGGCCCCAAGGCTGCCCAGATAGGCCCCAATACGACCTCCGAAGGCGCCAGACGGCACAAGATCTCCTTAAGACGGCCCGTGGTCCCAGACGTGCACCCCGCGAGGCGAGAGGACTCCACGTCCAGACTGCAGCCAAGCGTCTCGGCAGTCCAAAGGGCGCGCGTGTCACGTAAGGACCAGCTCCCGATACCTCCAGAACCCCAACTTCTCATCTGCAAAGCAAGCCCCCTTAATCCCCTGAGACCCCCCCCTGTGGTCGTGGCCATGTGGGCGTGGCGTGGTGGAGGGTGGACGTCGTCGTCGTCGTCGTCGTCGTCGTCGTCGTCGTCGTCGTCGTCGTCGTCGAAGTCGAAGTCGAAGTCGTCGACGTCGGCGTCGGCGTCGGGGTCGTTGGCGCCAGCGTCGGCATCGGCGTCGTTGGCGACCGATCTGCCCCAATTTCCCCCCTCATCGGCCACAGCCACGGGCTCACGCGGGCCCGCGGGCGTCCAAGCAGCCCAAGATGGCTCCAATTCGGTACTAGGGGACCAAAAAGTGGCATAATCATAAAAACTCGGAGGTCCGCGCGGATTTCTCGGATCGGCGCTGGGGCCCCCCGGCAGCGCCTCCGGCGCCGCACCTGGCGCGATCCGCGCGCCAGGGAGGGGGGTCCAGCGCCGATCCGAGAAATCCTCGCGGACCTCCGAGTTTTTATGCTTATGTCACTTTTTGCTCCCCTAGGTGTACAGAACGGCCCCAGCAACACCGAAGATGGCCCAAAAGGGCTCCAACCCCGTGAAGCCTCCAAAAAGCTCCCAGGAGGCCCCAGACGCCCATGGTCTCGCGGTCCGGACGTGCACCCCGCGAGGCGAGAGGAATCTTCTCGAGGCGCGGCATCACCCCGGCGTTCTCGATGGGCACATTCTGCACGGGCATGCGGCTCGGCACTGCTGGGGCGATGCCATCGGGATGCCATGCTGAATATTCAGTAAGGTACATGTCTCGGGTCGGGCGAAAAGGGGGGGATAGCAAAGGGGGGGGGGTTGAGACTCAGCTCACGCAGCTGATGTTCCCGGCGCCTCCCGGCGCCGGAGGCGACCATGTATCGAGGCATGGGCCCCTCGGTGGGGCCGAAACCAGCGGCACGCGGCAAATTCCGCACCCCCCCCCTTCCCCGAATCCCCCCCCCTCTCGTCCGGCCCGAATGTCGTCGGGCAGGAAGAGCACGATGTTTGGCTTCCGCTGGCCGGGCTCCGCGCCGCCACCCCTGCGCTCCGCGGCCCGCGGCGCCTGCACGCCGTGCCGGCGCTGGAGCAGGGACACGTGGCGCAGGGCGTCGGCGCAGCCGCCCGCCTCGGCGCACGCCTCCGGCAGGCTGGCTGCCGCAGGCGGGCAGCAGGCACAAAAACAGAGCGCACGGATAGGGGGCCACACGCGAGCCCTGCCCCGACCCCCCACGACTTCTGGGGGGGAGGGTGGGGTTCGCTTCGCTCGGGAGCTCCCGAACGGAGCGAACCCCACCCTCCCCCTCAGAAGTCGTGGGGGGTAGGGGCAGGGCTCGCGTGTGGCCCCCTAATGGAGAAAACGAAGCGAGTTTGCCACCGCGCCGACGCCCGGCAGCACCATCGGCGGCAGCGGGCGTCCAAAGGGTCGCGCCGCGGGCAGCGGGGCGGCTCGACCTGCGGCCGCCTGGGCCCAAATGGCGTAGAGAGCCACGTGGCCACGGATCGGGACACGCTCTCCCCGCTGATGTCCAAGGGGGCGGGGTCCTCCCTCCAAGCTGCCAGATCAGCTCTCCTTGCCGTCGCTCGGACGTCCAGTTCCCGTGCATTTTTCGGCTTCGTGCGTGCTTTTTTTTGCTCGATGGTCAAGGATGGTCCTCGAAGGTTCTCGCCGAGAAAAAATGCACACGTCCGAGCGATACCAAGTCCCTCCAAGTTGCCAGGTTAGCTCTCTCGGGGATGGACAGAGACCCCTTCAGCAGAACGTGGCTTAGCGAAGACGACCTCGGGCCCAAACCTGGCGGGCGCAAGCCTGGAAAACGGCGGCCGCCGCGCCCTCTCGCGAGCCGCAAATGGGCAATTCACTAATCGACGTGTCAGGGTGGGAGGTCTGTCCACCCCCGACTCTCTCTCTCTCTCTCTCTCCCTCTCTCTCACACACGCACGCACGCACGCACGCACGCACGCACGCACGCACGCACGCACGCACGCACGCACGCACGCAACACGCACGCAACACGCACGCAACACGCACGCAACACGCACGCAACAACACACACACACACACACTTACACTTACACTTACACTTACACTTACACTTACACTTACACTTACACTTACACTTACACTTACACTTACACTTACACTTACACTTACACTTACACTTACACTTACACTTACACTTACACTTACACTTACACACACCACACGCGTACCCCTCCTGTACCTCCTGGGCCCGCGGTGGCAGTTCCGAGGCCGCCCAGGGCCCCCCGTTGGGGCCACTTCTCCTGCGATCCCCGATCCGCCTCCCCGTTGATTGCCCCCCTGCTATCGAGCTCAGGGGAACGACAGGGGGGGGGGAATGGCACATGGGGGAGAAACATCGGCCTGGAATCGGCGATAGATCGCCGACTGATCGGTCGACTGCGAAGCCGAACGTTGCCAGGCGGGGTGGGCAATCCAAACCCTGGTGGCGATGCACGGCCAATGAGGGGCCAACGCATTGCTCCCAGAGCCTCTCTGGCAAAGCTTCGGGCTGCGCAGAGACAGCCCCCCCGGGCAGCCCTGGCTGGCCTCCTTAGCCCCCCGCGTAGCCCAGGGGCGCCGCCGGAGGCGGCGCCCGCTAAGGCTGCGAGACCGCCCCGGACTACATGGGGGGGCCGGCTGAGGCCAGCTGCGACGAAACCGGGGGCCTGCTGATGCCAGCCGGGACTACAGTCGGCCTTGATTTCCTCGTCCTCCTCCTCTTTCTCTTCCTCCTCCTCCTCCTCCTCCTCCTCCTCCTCCTCCTCCTCCTTCTCTTCCTCCTCCTCCTCCTCCTCCTCCTCCACCTCCACCTGCAGCTCCTCCTGCAGCTCCTCCTGCAGCTCCTCCTGCAGCTCCTCCTGCTCCTCCTCCTGCTCCTGCTCCTGCTCCTCCTCCTCCTCCTCCTCCTCCTCCTCCTCCTCCTCCTCCTCCTCCTCCTCCTGCTCCTCCTCCTGCTCCTCTTCCTGCTCCTGGGGGGACGTACAGTCGGCCTTGATTGGACAGGACACGCGAGAGGACACAAGACCCTTCCGAGGGCCACATCGCCATAGGAGTGTAAGAAGGCACGCGTCGCGAGGCGCAGGACACAAGGGAACCCTCGTGCTGACAGGGTCGACCTACTAATCCGAGCCGACTGTATCTTTACAAAGCGCAACCGAGCTGTCTGCGCGCAACCTGAAGCGTTACAAACCACCCCCCATACCGTTGCCCCTGGCCCAAGCCCCCGACATCATGGCTTTCGTGACGTGGACCTCCAGCGGCCTGGACTCGTTCCCCGGGACCGGCTTTTCGTCCCGAGTTGTTTTTTGACGGCCCCGCGGCCCAGTGAGGGCCCCCCGTGGCCGAGAATACTCCGAATCCCTTAGTAATCGACCCCCCCTCCCCCCCTAAAAAACCGACCCCCCTCCAAATGCGACCTAATATTCCGGAACCCCCTATTCGACGGGGCGCCTCAATAAACCAGACCCCCTCAGCTCCGATCCACAGAAAGCGCCATAATAAACCGGACCCCCCCAATTGCAAAAAAGGCGCCTTAAAAAAACCCGGACCCGGGGGACGATTAACAAGGGATTTGGAGTAGCGAAAAACTCCCCGTCGTGATCTTTGCATGACCCGAGGGGATCTGGGACGGCGCCCAGCAACCCCGACCCGCGGCGCCTCTCCAGTCCGACCCGCCCGCACTGCGCCCAGCTCGCCTCGCGATCCAGACCCCGCGCGCCCCTCCAGTGGGTCCAAATGTGTGTGCAGGGCGCGCCCGCTTCCTCCTCCTCCTCCTCCTCCTCCTCCTCCTCCTCCTCCTCCTCCTCCTCCCTCCTCCTCCCTCCTCCTCCCTCCTCCTCCGCCTTATCCTCCTTTTCCTTCTCCTCCTCCTCCTCCTCCTCCTCCTCCTCCTCCTCCTCCTCCTCCTCCTCCTCCTCCTCCTCCTTCTCCCTCCTCCTCCGCCTCCTTTTCCTTCTCCTCCTCCTCCTCCTCCTCCTCCCTCCTCCCTCCTCCTCCCCCACATTTTCTCGCAAGGCTTGGGGCCTTCTGAGCCTTCTGACAAGGCCCGTCCTGTTTTCAGTTCGCCCCCGGGCGGGCCGCCGAGACTTGAGCCCGCCCCCCGCCGGGAGCGACCCTCGCTCGTCGTCGCGGTCCCGGTCGGCGCCGTCCCTCCTGTCGGTGCGCCTGCCCCGCGGGTCCTTGTCCTCCGGGTCGCGCAGGATGCGGAGGTCCTCGGGGAGGGAGGCGGGGGGGGGAGAGGGGGCAGTGGCCCTGTCCCCCTCCCCTCCCCATCCCCCGACCCTCCTCCCCTCTCCCCCATCCCACTTCCTCCTCTTCCTCCTCCTCCTCCTCCTCCCTCCTCCTCCTCCTCCTCCTCATCCTCATCCCCGTCCCCATCCTCATCCTCATCCTCATCATCATCCTCATCATCCCTCCTCCTCCTCCTCCTCCTCCTCCCCTCCTCCTCCTCCTCCTCCTCCTCCTCCTCCTCCTCCTCCCCTCCTCCGCCCTCCTCCTCCTCTCCTCTCCTCCTCCTCCTCCTCCTCCTCCTCCCTCCTCCCCTCCTCCCTCCTCCTCCTCCTCCTCCTCCTCCTCCTCCCTCCTCCCTCTCCCTCCTCCTCCACTCCCTCCTCCCTCCTCCCTCCTCCCTCCTCCCTCCTCCCTCCTCCCTCCCTCCTTCCTCCCTCCCTCCTCCTCCTCCCTCCTCCTCCTCCCCTCCTCCCTCCTCCCTCCTCCCTCCCCCTCCTCCTCCCTCCTCCCTCCTCCCTCCTCCCTCCTCCCTCCTCCTCCCTCCTCCCTCCTCCCTCCTCCCCTCCCTCCTCCCTCCTCCCTCCTCCCTCCTCTCCTCCTCCTCCTCCCTCCTCCCTCCTCCTCCCTCCTCCCTCCTCCTCCCTCCCCCTCCTCCCTCCTCCACCCTCCTCCTCCTCTCCTCCTCCTCCTCCTCCTCCTCCTCCTCCTCCTCCTCCTCCTCCTCCTCCTCCTCCTCCTCCTCCTCCCTCCTCGTCCTCCTAGTCCTCGTCCTCGTCCTCGTCCTCCTCTTCGTCGTCGTCGTCCTCCTCCTCCTCCTCCTCCTCCTCCTCCTCCTCCTCCTCCTCCTCCTCCTCCTCCCCTCCCCCTCCTCCCCCTCCTCCTCCTACCCCTCACCCCCCACCTTCCGCTTGCTCCAAAGAGTACGTGGGTATGTGAGCATGCGGCGTCCCGCTGCCGACGTTGCCGTCGTGCTCGCACTCGCCCGCTCCCGCGCAGGGCCGAGGCGACATCTTTCGCCCCCAGCTGCGAAAGGTGAGGCCCACACCCGCGACTTGAGCACCTGCCGCTGTGGCCATGGTGCGGCCCCAGTCTGCACTGCTCCTCGTGGAAGTCTACACACGCTCCCCCCCCCCCCTCTCCTGCAAGCGTCTCTCGGAGCCCTGGTCTCGCCATCGCTCGGACGTCCACTTCCCGTACCTCTGTCGGTTTCGTGCGCGGTGTTTTTCCGGCAAGATGATCCAAGATGCTCTTCCATGGTCCTCGCCGAGAAAAACTACACACGCCCGAGCGATGCCAAGATTGACCCCCGCCTCGCCCAACCCGTCCGCCATCGGCCATCTCTCGGCTCAGTCTGCCGAGAACCCGCGACCAACTCAACGCCGACTCGGTTCAGGCTGGCCTGGGCCAGCTCAAGCGAGCCCACGCTGGGGCGCTCTCCGATCGACGCTGCCCGCGCCGCGCTCCCCGCGCGACGCTCCCCGCGCCGCGCTCCCCGTGCCGCGCTCCCCGCGCGACGCTCCCCGCGCCGCGCTCCCCGCGCCGCGCTCCCCGCGCCGCGCCGCGCTCCCCGCGCGCCGCGCTCCCCGCGCCGCGCCGCGCTCCCCGCGCCGCGCCCTCCGTGCCGCTCCCTCCTCTCTCCCTCGGCCTCGCGGCCTCGCGGCCTCGCGGCCTCGCGGTCTCCGCGCCGCGCTCGCCCGTGCCGCCCTCCTCCTCTCCCTCGGCCTCGTGGCCTCGCGGCCTCGTGGCCTCGCGGCCGCGCTCCTCGCGCCGCGCTCCCCGTGCCGTCTCCTCGTCCCGTCTCCTCATCTCTCCCCCGGTCTCGCGGCCCCGCGGCCTCGGCGTGGGGCGCCGGCGGCAGCGACCCGCTGCTGCCGCACCTCCCCAGGAGCTCTCCGTCCCTGCTCCTGCCGCGCCTCCGCGTCGAGGCGTGGCCGCGACGAGGTCCTTGGCCCCTGGGGATTAGCGGTGCCGACCCCGCGGAGTTGCCTGTTGCCTGCTGCTGCTGCTGCTGCTGCTGCTGCTGCTGCAAAGGCTGCCGCTTCTGCAAGCTTCGTCGTTCCCGGCCAGCTGGTCCAGCGCAGAGAAGGATGAGCGAGGCCGCTAACTTACTGCCAAACGCTGTCGATCGTCGGGGGAGGCGCTGTCGCCCCCTGCGCAAAAAAAATGGCATGCACGGCCATGCAGCGCCAACCAGCCAGCGAAAACTAAGAGAGAGAGAGAGAGAGAGAAAGGGAAATATATCTGAGACTGTACATCGCGGTGGGCAGAGGGAGGATGGCCGCGAGGGCGACTCCGCAGGTGGAGAACCGGGAGGTAGCAGCGAGCGGCAGGAAACGACTCGCGCACGCGCATGCACGCACCCGCCTTCGGCAAACCCCCTCGCCAGCATGCCCTGCCCCTCGCCCAGCTCGCCCCGCGACTCCGGGCCGTCTGCGGGCGCGTCGAGCTCGTCGAGCTCGTCCAGCTCGTCCGGGCCGCCCTCGGGTGCGTCCGCTCTGCGGCCCGACGAGCAGGCGGGCACCGGCAGGGGCAGGGGCCCGACCACTGGGCCCTCTTGTGGCGAGCCCGCTCGGGCGACCACCGCAGACGCAAGCGCCCGGAGGCGTCGCCCGCCTCCGTCGGGTACCCTGGGGGGCTGCGTTGTGCGACCACTGTTATGTCGGGCGTGTCCCCCTATACAAGGGGGTTTTCGACGACATATGAAAAATACCCCCAAAATGCCCCCCAAAGGCCAAAAACTATGCAAGAAAGAATCCCCAGACTAGTTTTGCACAATTTTTTTAATATCTTTGGGGTATGTCGCATTTTCCGTCGACAACCCCCCTATAGGGGGACAGGCCCGACATAAGACCACTGGGCGCTCCCCTTTGCGCGAGGCCGCCTCCGTGGCCCGCTCCTCGCGCGCAGTGGCTGTCGCGCGCCGCTGCCGCGCCGGGGCCCGCCCGCCGTCTTCGCCCTCGGCCACTCGGCCCCCCGCTCGCCTTCGGGACTGGCCTCGCCTCGTTCTCATCTCGTGGCCGGCCTCCTCCAGGCGGCAGGCCACGCCCTCGATGCTTGCCACGCTGTCCCCTCCCCCTCCCCCTGCCCCTGCCCCTGCCCCCCCCGAGGGCCAGAGCGCAGAAGCCCTCCCTGCCTCTCCCTCCCCTCGCCCTCCCTCGCCCTCCCTCGCCCTACCTCGCCCTCCCCCTCCCCCCGCCCCCCCCAAACTCTCCTCGCCCTATTGGGCCATCCCCCTCCTCCTCCTCCGTGCGCTCCCGGATCTGAGATCGGATCTCCCAGTGCTGGCAGAAACACAAAACCGACACCGGAGGAAGACGATCTCCGCTTCAGGCAGCGAGAGGTCGCGCCCCGGCGCTGCGGCGCGCCAGGCTCGGGGCCGCGGAGATCGGACCACGTGCCGCTGCCTTCCCCAGCGCGAGGCCTCGCCCTCGGGACTCCACAAATCCACCTCCACCTCCTGCCATGGGAGGAGGGGGGGGAGGCCTGGGAGGGGAGGAGGGATGGAGGCAGAGGGAGGCAGTCAAGGGGTAGTGCCTTCACACGTCTTGGGGTGTCTTGGAGGTTCCGAATGGTTTGCGGGAGCCCTGGGGGTGCCTCCTCCTCGTCCTCCTCCTCCTCCTCCTCCTCCTCCTTCTCCTTCCTGCTCCTGCTCCTGCTCCTGCTCCTCCTCCTCCTCCTCCTCCTCCTCCTTCTCCTCCTCCTGTTCCTGCTCCTCCTCCTCCTCCTCCTCCTCCTCCTCCTTCTGGGGAGGAGGGAGAAACCTCCCCCTCCTCCTCCTCCTCCTCCTCCTCCTCCTCCTCCTCCTCCTCGTCCTCCTCCGTAGCCATTTTGGCTCAAGCCGTCTCGCGCCCCTGTCGTCGGCTGCTGGCGGTCGAGCAATGGCACGGTCCCCTCCGGCGGCGACGCTGGATCCGGCATCCTCGGCCCCGCTGGCCCAGGCGGGCTCTCTTGGTGCGGCGGCCGGCGGTGCCACACAGAAGGGCATCGCGGCGGCCGTTGCTGCGGCGCTGCGCACGGGCGCTGGGCTTGCGGGCGGAATGCGGCACCAGGACGTCGTGGAGGAGGTCATGGGGCGCATCTGCATGGTCGTGCCCGCGCTCACCGAGAGGGTGGTCGTTGACCTCGGCTGTGGTGCGGAGAACCTCCCGAAGTCCGCGCGGGAGGCCAAACAGCGGGGCCGTAGCGGCCGCCGCCGCCCTTTGGTGAAGCAGGGGGAGGAGCAGAGCGTACTGGGGTAGTAACCGAGTCCTCCAGGGGGGTGTATGCCGTGGAGCCCTTGGAGAAGAAGGACGTGGAGTCGAGCGTACCTTCGATGGAGAAGCCTGTGTGGCTCCAGAATGATGTGTGGACACTTTGTGGCGTGTCTGTGGAGAAATGCCTCGGGATGCTGACTGAGTTCAGGGTCATGCTGAAGGACCACATGAAGGCTTGCGAGACATTCGACATCAGCCTCAAGTCGTGCGCCCTCGGGAACATGCCCGACTGCAACTTGAAGGCTGCGGCCTTCGACAACATGCACACCACCCTGCAGGACGTGAAGCCGATGCACAAGTTCGTGGACGTCGGCAAAACGCTCGACACCGCTCTCGTCCCGATGATGGCCGAGGAGAAGAGGAAGCCGATGGTGCACAATGCGCTCGACGGTGTGGAGTCCGAAGGCATCGTCAAACCCATCATGGTGTATCCTCTTTCCTCGGGGACAGTTTTGGAGAGCTGTGAGGCTGCGATCTTCCAGCAGCATGTGCAGTCTCACATTGTGCAGTCGGAGCTGGAGCGCACTTCCTCCAGCCTCGGGGGCGCCAGAACTGCTCTCGACAGGATGCGGGCCTGCCTGGACTTGGCGGCCGTGCGCGTCCAGCGGGCGAAGGAGGCCCTGGCGTGTGAGGAAGCCAACTTCGAGCACATCGTGGGGGAGATGGCTCATGCGGTCGGAGCTCTCAGCGTCGAGGAGGGCCACTCGATTATGCGGGAGCTCGGCCTGACGCGCGAGCTCCCCGTTTGCATGGCCAGCGGAGGCTCGTGCTCCTCCCGCCTGCCGTGCCGAATGCCTCGGCGCGGAGGCCCGTGCTCCTCCTGCGCCCTGCGCCTGGCGGGCGGAGGCCCGTGCTCCTCCGCCGCCAGGGCCTGTTCGCGCGGAGGCTCGTGTCCCTCCTGCGCCTGGGCGGCCTGGCGGTGCGGAGGCTCGTGCTCCTCCTGCGCCGCCTGGCCGCGTCGCGCTAGCGGAGGCTCGTGCTCCTCCTGCGAAGCGCCGGAGCGGCAGCGGAGGCTCCTGTTCCTCCACGGCCGAGGCTGTGCACGTGCGTGCTGTCGCAGCAGACTCCAGCAGACTCCACGCCGTCCTCCTCACTTTCCTCCTCCTCCTCCTCCTCCTCCTCCTCCTCCTCCTCCTCCTCCTCCTCCTCCTCCTCCTCCTCCTCCTCCTCCTCCTCCTCCTGCTCCCTCCTCCTCCTGCTCCTCTCCTCCTCCTGCCCTCCTCCTGCCTGCTCCTCCTCCTCCTCCTCCTGCTCCTGCTCCTGCTCTCCTCCTCCTCCTCCTCCTCTCCACCTCCTCCTCCTCCCTCCTCCTCCTCCTCCTCCTCCTCCTCCTCCTCCTCCTCCTCCTCCTCCTCCTCCTCCTCCTCCCAGTCCTCGTTGCCCTCCTTCGCCTCCTCCTCCTCCTCCTCCTCCTCCTCCTCCTCCTCCTCGTCCTCCTCCTTCTCCTCCTCGTTGTCCTTTTCCTCGTCCTGTTAGCACGCGCTCGCCTGGTAGGGGGGGGGGGCTGGGGCTCGGCAAGGGAGCGTCGGGCTCCCGGCCGAACGCAGCTGCAAGGTCTTCAGTTACGGGCAGGGCGTGATGAAGTCAGGCGGGCTTAGCCGCCCCGGAACGCAACACGCAACCCGTAGCGTGTTGACACGGAGCTCAGCGCGTAGACTGAAAACGAAGGTATGATGCGGTGCGTTCGCCCAAAACGTGGGCCAGTACGTTGAGCCAACAGGCAACGCATCGACTCGGACGTCTTGAGCATGGTACGTGCTGCGTTCCAGAACGGGCATATCGAGGCAGCTAAGCCGGCGGGGGGCGTCCCAACCTCATCTTTTGCTTGGCTGCTCTTCCAGCCACGCAGCGAGCGCTCGAACGCTAGTCCCCTGCCTAGAAGCCCCCGATGCCCCCCCGCCCCGCCCCCACTCGGCGGCGACGATAGGGGCGAATAGCCCGGGGGCGGGCATTACACGCATTCGCCCGGGAGCCTTTTCGAAGACATAGATCATCGGCGCACCCGAACACTGATGATGATGATGATGATGATGATGATGATGATGATGATGATGATGATGATGATGTTGATGATGATGATGATGATGATGATGATGATGATGTTGATGTTGATGTTGATGTTGATGTTGATGTTGATGATGATGATGATGATGATGATGATGATGATGATGATGATGATGATGATGATGATGATGATGATGATGATGATGATGATGATGATGATGATGATGATGATGATGATGAGTATTGCTCTCCCCTGGGCTTTTCGCCCCTATCGTCGCCTCCGCCCCCACGTCCTCCACCGGACATCCGCCGGCGCCTCCCCTCCGCCGGGCCCCGCAGACCCTTCGCAGACGTCTGCCCGACGCGAGCAGGGGAGGCCCCTTTCTGGAACGGCCTCTCTCTTGCAGGACATATCTCGCCCTTGGCCCCTCCCCCGCTGCTGGAGACTCTGGCTTGCCTCTGTGGACGCCATGACAATGGCCACTCTAACAATCCTATCATTGAGTTAAGAATGTGTTGCACATGTGGAAAACGTGTTCGAACTATGTTCCAAAGATGTTCTTTTTGCATCTCTAAAACATGCTTGAAACATGCTTTAGACATCTGGAAATGATTTGGCAGCACGCCTCCTCTCCATCAGTCGACTTCCACAAGCTTGCCTGAGCAACTCTCCTCTGCCGTCGCGAGACCTGGACCGCGCCGTCCTCTCCCGTCACCGCGTCGGCACGCGCACTCCGAGCCGAGTCCAGCTGCGGAGCAACGAGGGCCGCGCTCCCCGCAGGCTGAGGCACGCGGGAGGACAAGCACTCTCGACGGCGTCGGTTTTCGCATCGACATTCGTGCTGGCTCTGTTCCTCGCAGCTCCGGCGCCAGATCCTGATGCCTACCGGCGTGCAATTCCAGTTCACTTGGGCTGTCGAGTACCAGAGCAGCTCGGGGCGGCAGAAACCCACCGCGAGCCGAATCCGATATTCAGTCTCCAGCGGCGATTCGGCCGCATCAAACTTGCGGCTGCCACGAGGCACAGTGGCCAGAACGTTAACATCCCAAATCACAAGACAGCTCCCCAACCACTTGGACCCCACCACCAGCCCACATGGTGAACACGAGTGCTGCGCAGCCACAGGGAGACTGTCACGGAGTTAGCTACCCATGAGTTGCGACATATGGTGCGCCATCCCTCGGTTGCGCGATCCATGGATTACGTCACCCATGGGTTGCGCCATAGGCTGCGGCATCGACGGGTTACGCGACATTTGTTGTGCCGTAGGTTGCGCCATGGGATGCGTCATCCGTGCCGTTCGCTATGTAGAGAACAATCGGTTGTGCACTGGGCTGCCGGATATGAAACGGCCCGTTCTCGGCTGCGCCAGAAGTTGCGCACTCGGCGGCAGAGCATAAAACGGCCAGCTGCCGGTTAAGTTACACAGTCGGGCTGCCGAAACTAAAGCGGCCTCCGATCGGCTGAGCCATAGGGCTTGCGAAATCGAATGCAGTACACAAACCTGCCTGCCCTGGTTGCGCCCACCTCAGGATGCCCCTAAACGGAACTTGGATAAATCTGGACACTGGCGCGCCTGGGAGCACTGCAACCACGGGTCGAACCATCTCTCCATTGCTCATTCCCTCCGGGTGGATTCTGCAAAGCCCTGGTGATCGCTGTCTTGGTGGTCCACGGGGCCCTGGCAAAACGTCCGCACGCGGACGCTGGACATGACATGGCCTGCTATATCGCTTGAGCAGTGGGTGGTGCACCCGGCGGCCAGAGACAGCACAGCCTGCAGTCGGTCAGTCAATCAGGTCAACCATCAGTTTACAGTCAACCAGTATAGTAAGGATGCGCGATAAGGATGCAAGGGCCTTGGACGCCCATTTCGAAGCTTTTCGAGCGGGGCGCGGCCAGCGAAAGCGGCGAAGGATGGACCGAGGAGGCAAGGATGCAAGGGTACCCTTGGGAAGGTTGCCCATCCTTACTATACTGGTTGACTGCATTTAGCGAAAATCACTTCGGGATACGCCCGAAAACGCCAAGTCAAAGTCGCAGAAAATTGTCATCCGTTGATCTGGGGCACACCAACAGATTTGGGGGCTCCTCATGCCTCGAGAGAGGTTGCGCACGACCAGCCTTCCAGGTGCAGCGTGGGGGGACCACTCGGGGGGGAGGTCAACATGAATTATACATGTTGATCCTCCCTCTTCTTCGCTCCTCGTCCTCTTGTTTTGTTGCTGCGGATTGGTTCGTCATGATGACCGTGGCCCTCGGTACCGCCGCACCCGGCCGAGCCTCCAGCTCCTCCTCCACCTCTCTCCTCCCTCCTCCCTCCTCCTCTTCCTCCTCCTCCTCCTCCTCCTCCTCCTCCTCCTCCTCCTTCTCCTCCTCCTCCTCCTCCTCCTCCTCCTCCTCCTCCTCCTCCTCCCTCCCTCCTCCTCCCTCCCCTACTTCTTCTGCTTCTCTCCCTCCCTCCTCCTCCTGCTCCTTCCTCCATCCTCCTCCTGCTCCTCCTTCTCCTCCTCCTCCCTCCTCGTTCTCGTCCTCGTCCTCCTCCTTCTCCCCCCTCCTCTTCCTCCTCCCTCCTCCTCCTCCTCCTCCTGCTCCTGCTCCCCTCCTCCTCCTCCTCCTCCTCCTCCTCCCTCCTCCTCCTCCTCCTCCTCCTCCTCCTCCTCCTCCCTCCTCCCACTGCCTCGTCGAAGACTTTTCGTCGCCCGAGTGTTGGGACTGGGGGGACGACTGCGCCTCCAGCTGGCGCCGCGCGGAGCCGCCGCCAGCCGCGTCCTTCGGCTTGTCGCTCTTCTGCGGCTCCCCCTGAGAGCTGTTTTTATGGGTCGCCGCCAGCATCAGCCCCTCATCAGAAAGAAATCGGCGGCGCGCCGAGGGGGAAACCTCGGAGGGCTCAGGAGGTGTTCGGCCGTTTTGGACAGCTGTCCGAGCCTTCTCCGATGCCGAAGGGAAACGCCTGCCTCGCCGCGTCGGCCCAACAGACGAGTCTCCTTTCAAGGTCCACTGACCAACGCGATGTGACAAGCATGGCGTTTGGCCAACTGCAGGAACAGCGGCTAAGAGATGCCCGCTCATAGCCAGACTCACTTAGATCCACACCCACTCGTGCTGCAAATTCGTGTCGTGCCGATCCCGGCGTTCACTCCGGACACCGCGGGGGATCGTTCAACCTTGAACGATCGGCCGTTTCCGAGACGCCAAATCGTTCAACGTCGACCGAATCTGGGTCGCCGGCGGCGCTCAACAGGGTTGCCGCCAATCGGCACGACGCGAACCTACCGTACCCAGACCCCCGATTGTGTGTGTGTTTTTCATAGCGTCGACCCTCAGAGGTCTGGACCCCTTCCCTGGGACCGGTGTTTCATCCTGCGTCGTTTTTGACGGCCCCGAGGCCTGGTGAAGGCCCCGGAGGCCGAAAATAGCGAAAAACCTCCGTTGTGATTTCTTCACAGCGCGAGGGGGTCTGGGTAGATCCACTCACACTCAAGCACTCGTGGAAGAGGGCCTCGTCAGACGGAGCGACGCAGCTGCGGGGATCCCCGCGTCGAGTCATGGTGCCTGGCCCCCGCCCACGCTCCCGTGCAAGCACCTGCGGGCACTGAGATCCAGCATCCGACGCTGAGACGAGGGTTTGTGCACTAGCCCGAAACAGAGGGCGTCGGAAAATTCCCAGACCCCCGACGTCATGATTTTTTCGCGACGCGGCCCCGAGAGGTCTGTACCCATTCCCCGGGACCGTTTTATCGTTCTGAGTCGTTTGTTGACGGTCTCGAGGCCCTGTGAGGGCCCCTGGAGGCCGACACTTAGGAAAAGCCTACCGTCGTGAATTTTTCACAACGCGAGGGGCTCTGGTTACGCGCATCCCAAGACCCCCTCGCGCTGCAACAAAAATCCCCTCGGCCTCTGGGGGGGCCTCACCGGGCTCCGGGACTGCAAAGCGACGCAGGCTGAAAAACCCGGCCCCGTCGACGCTGTGAAAAAATCACGAGGGCAAGTTTTTCCTAATTTTCGGCCTCCAGGGGCCCTCACCGGCCTCGGGACTGTCAAAAAACGACGCAGGTTGAAGAACCGGACCCGGGGAAGGGGTCCAGACCTCTGGGGCTCGACGCCATGAGAAAGCCACGACGGCGGCGGTCAGGGTCCACCGCGTCCGCCCTCGAGATGACGAGGCCGATGTGCTCGCAGGATCGCTCGCCCTGTCGTCGGGAGCGGCCAAGAGGGGGGCGTCCAAGAAGGGGGGGTGCAAATCATGACCGGCGGCATGTGCGCGGCCCAGCGGGGGGGCCAGGGACGTAATGAAATAAGAAGAGGCGCCATAAAATCTGGGGAACTATCATGGCCCCCGCCATGATATCCACCCGCCTCCTGGTCATTACCCCCGCTTGGCCGCCTCCGATGATCGGCACCGAGGTACGCTGAGGCCAAGCGTAGGAGGACGAGGAGGAGGACGAGGAGGAGGACGAGGAGGACGAGGAGGACGAGGAGGAGGAGGAGGACGACGACGAGGAGGAGAAGGAGGAGGACGACTAGTCATCACCCCCCTCGTTTCCGCCCCCGCTGTCGGGGGCATCCGAGCACACGGGCAGGCGTCGCTGCGCTGCCGGGCCACCCGAGACTCTGGAGAGCCAGGTCGCCGAGCGTGGTGCACGAGCCTGTGGGCGCGCAGCGCGTACGCAGGTCCGGCTGGAAAGGAGGAGGGAGGAGGAGGAGGAGGAGGAGGAGGAGGAGGAGGAGGAGGAGGAGGAGGAGGAGGAGGAGGAGGAGGGGGAGGAAAGGGAGGAGGAGGAGGGAGGAGGGAGGAGGAGAGGGAGGAGGAGAAGGGGAGGAGGAGGAGGAGGAGGAGGAGGAGGAGGAGGGGGGGGGGCGGGCGGCACGCGAGCCGTTGTCGCGCATCTCGCTGAGGCTGGGTGGCCCGCGCAGCTTTTTCTCGTCGGGGGTCGAGGCACCTGCCAAGCCGTCCTCTGGGCACTCGGCCTCGCCTTCTGGGCCGCGAGCCCCGCCTTCGGCGCATGGCCTTGAGGTCTCCTCTGCCAGGAGGTTGCTGAGCAGCCTGCTTTTTGGCAGACTACAACCAGAGCGCCCTAAGTCAAGACATGGCTAATCCAGACTTTGGAAACTCCACTTTGAGAACCCGGACAATGAAGAATGTTCCAGTTTAAATTTTCTCGGGCGCGCCAAAGTCATGTTTTTTCGAAGTCCCCGTTTCCAGCGCCCTGAAACATGAGTGTTGGCAAACGCTGGGCATAGCTCGCATGCAAAACGGTGGCCGACCAGACTCTTCGGAAGACGCTCGGTCGGTGCTGCAGTGATCTGACATCGCTCCTCCCCGCCCAGAGCGAACCACGCTGCCGTCCGGTGGCGCTTGCAAGACGGGCGTGGGCAAGCCACAGATCACACCCGCGGGAGGGGGTGGGATATCAGACGGTCCTTCCCCGCTGCAGCCCCACGCCACGGCGGGGCCGTCGTCCCAGAGGAGAGGGAGACAATCATGGCCACCTCCGGCGACGGCCCGCGCCTTTGACTTGACACCTGCGGAACAGGCCGGAACATCGAACTTCTGCGGTGGGGGTATTGGGCAAGGAACCCCGAGATAGGGAATCCAGGGTCTGGAAGCCAGTGGACCTTCAATCGTGGATCGGCCATGGAGATCACCGCCGCCCCCATTGGGAAAGGAATCCTCCAGGGTCTACAGCCTCTTGGGCACACTCCTGAACTCCTGAACGAACGCCCTCACCGTATTCGGGGGCGCGCAAACATGGACTAGCGTTCTGTGGATTTGGCGCGCGGTCGCCAAATCCATGGATCGGGGGAGGTGCCCTTCCCCCAAATGCGGCCGGTGCCGCCGCGTTCGGCGGCGGAAATCCGCGACTTCCCATGGAAACGGGACCCGTCGCTAATCCACGCCCACGTGATCCATGATTGAGATTCATTGATATATGAGCGATTCCGAAAACCCGAACCCTGAACACAAACATGTTGTCGTCTCTTGGGGGCGCGTCTTTTCCTTCCGCTGGCTTCCGCCAACTTGCGCTGGCGGAGGCCGCCTCGTTTTACCTCCGCGAGCTTCCGCCGCCCTTCCGCCGTCTTCCGCCGCGGATGAGATGGCAACTCCTTCGTTCCTCGAAGACAAGGCCCTTTTTGGAACGCTCAATCTGCATAGAGGCGCGCAGTGTGCTTCGAATGCGAGTCAAGCGTGCGGCGAGGAGGCCAAACCGGGCCGGACATGGAAGGTGGAGCCTGCAGCGCGCGAACGTGCCAAGATTTGACCCAAGATGGTCACGGGGAGGCTCCCTGGAAGCTCCCAGATCGGGTGTTGCAGGAGGAGGAGGAAGGAGGGAGGGAGGGAGGGAGGGAGGGAGGGAGGGAGGGGGGGAGGGAGGAGGAGGAGGAGAGGAGGAGGAGGAGGAAGGAGGAGGAGGAGGAGGAGGAGGAGGAGGAGGAGGAGGGAGGAGGGGGAGGGAGAGGAGGAGGGGGAGGAGGAGGAGGAGAGGAGGAGGTGGAGGATAGGAGGAGGGAGGAAGGAGAGGAGGAAAAGGATGGAGGAGGATGAGGGAGGAGGAGGAGGATAGGAGGAGGAGGAGGAGGAGGAGGGAGGAGAGGAGGAGGAGGGGAGAGGAGGAGGAGGAGGAGGAGGGAGGAGGAGAGGAGGAGGAGGAGGAGGAGGAGGAGGAGGAGAAGGATGGGGGGAGGATGGAGGATGGAGGAGGAGGAGGAGAGGAGGAGGAGGAGGAGGGGAGGAGGAGGAGGAGGAGGAGGAGGAGGAGGAGAGGAGGAGGAGAAGATTGAGGAGGGGAAAAGGAGGAGGAGGAGGAGGAGGAGGAGGAGGGAGGATGAGGAGGAGGAGGAGGAGGGAGGAGGAGGAGGAGGAGGAGGAGGAGAAGGATGGAGGGGGAGGGGAGGAGGAAGATGGAGGAGGAGGAGGAGGAGGAGGAGGAAGGAGGAGGAGGAGGAGGAGGGGAGGAGGAGGAGGAGGAGGAGGAGGAGGGAGGAGAATGAGGAGGAGGTGCCCCTGGCCCAAGGTGTCCCCAGGAGATCCAAGGAGGCCCAGGTCGCCTCGAGGGTCAAGCTGGCGCGAAAGGGGGCACCTCGGCCCTTTCCGGCCGATAGGGGCCGGGCGGCCTGCGGCCGCAGTCTCCTCGGGCATTGTGAGAAAGTCCTGGCTCATCAGGTCTCGTAGGGCGACGCCGACGCCGACGCCGACGCCGACGCCGACGCCGACGCCGACGACGACGACGCCGACGCCGACCCCGACGCCGACGCCGACGCCGACGCCGACGACGACTACGACTAAGACTACGCCGACGACGACGACTACGACGACGACGACGAGGACGCTGACGCCGACGCCGACGCCGACGCCGACGCCGACGCCGACGCCGACGCCGACGACGAGGACGACGACAACGACGACGACGACGATGACGACGAGGACGACGAGGACGACGACGACGACGACGAGGACGACGAGGACGATGAGGACGACGACGACGACGCCGACGACGAGGACGACAACGACGACGACGAGTCCCCGACACGCCGCCGCGGGATGCCCTGGTCGACCAGCGCAGGTCCTCGAGCAGGCAGGCCCTGCCCAGAGGCAGGCCGCCACCGCCGACGCGCGGCGGGCGGCCGCAGCCCCGCGCAGAGAGTCGTCGTCGTCGTCGTCGTCGTCGTCGTCGTCGTCGTCGTCGTCGTCGCCGTCGTCGTCGTCGTCGTCGTCGTCGTCGTCGTCGTCGTCGTCGTCGTCGTCGTCGTCGTCGTCGTCGTCGGCATCTCCCAAGGGGGGCCTCCAAAAACCCGCACCGATTCGAAGCCGGATCCGCTGCACTGCTCGGGGACTCACTGACCCAGGCCAACCCAGACCCGGGTCAGTCAGGCTTTGCAGGGTCCTGCAAAATCCTACAGGATCCTGCACCCAAGCCCAGGTCAGTGCACCCCCAGCTGGCCCTGCAGGATCCTGTAAGATCTGGCGCTCTTCGGCTACACGCAAGAGCGACCTGGGGTAAGAGTGACCTTTGGTGCGCGGCATTTTGGGACCGCGGGGGGGCGAAAAGCAAGCGCGAAAGCCGCTGCTACCGCTTCTCTCTTAGCCATCTGGGGACCCGTCTGTGCCCGCACCAAAGGTCACTCCAGCGAAAGGTCACTCTTACGCCTCGCCGAACTCTGGCTGACCCCCGTTTGCATTGACCCCCGTCTCAAGGCCCCCGAGCTGCTGGGCCGCAGGCGCCTCCGGCTCGCCCTCCGGCTTGGCCGCCTCGCCCTCCGGCTCGCCCTCCGCGTCGCCCTCCTGCCATGCTCCGGCGAGGCGGGCGGCCCGGGCGGCAGGCCCTATGCATTTTCTGACTTCGTGCGTTTACTTCCTGGTGCCAGCAAGATGATCCCATCCGAAATCCCCTCGGGCAGCGGAAAAATCACGACGGGAGGATGTTCGCCACTTCCGGCTTCTGGAGGCCCCTTCTGGGTCCAAAAACGAGTCGGGATGAAGAACGGGTCCCGGGGAAGGGGTCCAAACATCCGGGGGTCGACGTTGTGGAAAAATCACGACGCTGGGGGTCCGGGATATGCTCCTCGATGGCCCTCGCCGGAAAAATGCACACGTCCGAGCGATGCCAGGTGTGGGACAAGACGGGCCCTGAGCCGACCAGCCATAACTGGGGGAGCTGTGGTGATTACCCCCCTGAGGGAACCCATCGCCTCGACGATCTCTCGAGAGGGGTGTCGAAATCGATGGGTCCCCCAGGGGGGTAAGGACCACAGCTCCCCCAGTTGTGGCTGGCCTGCTGAGAGGTCCAGGCGCTGCATTGATTGTCTTGTGCTGGGCGCTCTCGCCCAATGTCGGGCCCTGGGTCGGGGACCTACTGGCACAGGTCAATCCAAACCCGGGTCAGTCGGGCTTTGCAGGATCCTGCCAATCGGGAGCGGCCAAGAGGGGGGTGTCCACGAGGGGGGGGTGCAAATCATGACCGGCGGCATGTGCGCGGCCCAACGGGGGGGCCAGGGACGTCATGAAATGAGAAGAGGCGCCATGAAAGCTGGGGAGATATCATGGCCCACGCCATGATATCCCCCCCCCCTAGTCATCACCCCCCTCTTTTCCGCCCCCGAGCAAAGTCCTGCAGGATCATGCACGCAAGCCCGGGTCAATGCCAATGCAGCCCTGGCCGACTGACCCCCGTTTGCATTGGCCCTCGTCACTTGAGCCCCGACCGAGGCCAGAACAGGTCGAGCCGGCTGAAAAATGCCGCGGGAAGATGGAGCCTACAGTCATCGTGAGGCTACAAGGAACGCACGACAAGGAGCGAAGGAGCATTGCTGGCCACGGCGGGCCTAGGGCCTAGGCCTCGAACAGGCACGACATGAATCTAAGGAGCGGCCCAAAAACCCGAGCCCCTCCCCAGGCCCCCAGCATCGTGATTTTTTCAACGTCGACCTCCCAGCAGTCTGCACCCCTTCCCCGGGGCCGACTTTTTACCCTGAATCGTCTCTTGACGTTCTCGAGACCCGGGCCCCCAGGAGGAGGAGGACGAGGAGGAGGACGAGGAGGAGGAGGAGGAGGAGGAGGAGGAGGAGGAGGGAGGAGGTGAGGAGGAGAGAGGAGGTGGAGGAGGAGGAGGGGGAGGTGAGGAGGAGGAAGGAGGAGGAGGGGAGGAGGAGGGGAGGGAGGAGGAGGAGGAGGAGGAGAGAGGAAGGAGGAGGAGGGAGGAGGAGGAGGAGGAGGAGGAGGAGAGGGGAGGGAGAGGAGGAGAGAGGAGGAGAGGAGGAGGAGGGAGGAGGAGGGAGGAAGGGGGGGAGGAGGAGGGAGGAGGAGGGCGGAGGAGGAGGAGGGAGGAGGGGGAGGAGGAGGAGGAGGAGGACGATGCGAGGGGGTCTGGCTCCCGAGCCCACAGCGGCCCTTGCTTCGGCGTCTCGACTGCATCGCCACAGCTCCCGCCGTGGCTTCTCGCGATGCCGCGGGGTCTCCTCGCAGCGTCGGGGCCTCGGGGGGCGGCAGGGCTCCCTGGGCTACAGTCGGCCCTGATCAATGAGTCGACCCTGCCAAGTCAAGGGTACCGCAGGTTTGCGTCGTGTCGACCCAGGCGATGGTTTTTGACACCGCGGGGATCGTTCAACCTTGAACGATCGGCCGTTTTCGAAACGTCCAAATCGTTCCACATCGAACGATTCTGGGTCGCCCGCGGCGTTCAAAGTTGAACGCCGCTGGCGGGGTCGCCGCCGGTCGACACGACACGAACCTACCGTACATGCGTGTCCTGTCTTGAAAGACCCGTGCCTTTTACATTCCCGTGGCAACGTAGCCCTCGGAAGGGTCTTCTGCCCTCTCGCATGTCCTCTGGCTACTTGCCAGAACACCCCAGCCTAACAACCCGAAGACCCAGATTTCGGGTTGGGGGGGTTTGGGTTCCACATGTGTTTTCTTCAATCTTCTCCGACGCCCTCGTCCAAAGTGCCTACGGCAGGTCCGTGTCGTGTCGACCCTGGGGCTGGTTCCCGACACCGCGGGGATCGTTCAGCCTTGAACGGGCAGTTCCCGAAACACCAGGATCGTTCAACATCGACCGATTCTGGGCCGCCGGCAGCGTTCAACGTTGAACGCCGGCAGCGGAGTCGCCGCCGGTCGACACGACGCGAACCTGCCCTAAGAGCCTCCAACCCAGGCGTGCGACGCCCTGCTTTTTTCAGTGCGGGGTCCCTGGAAATCCTCACCTCTTCCCCAGGACTGGTTCTTCATCGAAGGATTGCAAAAAAAACCTTCGAAGGGTTTTTTTTGCAATCATTCGAAGGTTTTTTTTTGCAATCCTGTTTTTTTTTGCAATCCTTCGTTTTTTTTTTGCAATCCTTCGTTCAAATGAGTCGTTGTCTGACGGCCCCGAGGCCCGGCGAGAGCCCCCCGAGGCCGAGAACGGGCAGAAGCCTCAGATCCGGTCCCGATTACGGCGCGGCAGTGTCTGGGAAGGGGCCTCCTCCTCCGATGGCGCTCGGTTTAGGTCGGGCCTGTCCCCATACAGGGGGATTCTGGACGAAGATAAAACATACCCCCAAAATTACAAAAAAAAATCGAAAATGTTAAAATAATCGTCCCCAGACTATTTTTTGACTGTTTCTGAGGTCCTCCTGTAGAGGGACAGGCCCGACTTAACGCTCGGTCTCTGGCTGCTCCTCGGGCGGGCCCCGGCGCGGCCCACAGGGCACGAAGGGGCACGCTCTCGCCTGCCCCGCCCGCCCCTCCGCTCCGGGCCGCTGCTGCTGCCGTGTCTGCAGCTGCAGGGGGGAGGGGCTCGAACTCTCGTGGAAGCCCTGAGTGGGGAAACGAACTCTACAGTCAGAACGTATAGTAAGGACGGGTGATAAGGACGCAAGACCCTTGGAGGCCGAAGTTGGGTTTTCTAGGGCGGCGGGCGACCAGTGATAATGGCAAGGACGAGCCTCAGAGGCAAGGACACAAGGGTACCCTAGATGAAGGCCCACGTCCTTACAAGGCGCGTTGACTGTATACACCGACGCTCTCTCCGACCCTGCGCCGAAACTCGCACAGGAACGCGGATTCTGGTGTATGCGGGATCCTGGTGTATACATTTGTCCTTGTTCCCCTGGGACAACGGGGGGAAAAGCATACACCAGACCACCCCGACGTCGTCCCCGACCCTCAAAAAGTCGTGGGATTGAAAAAAAAAAAACGCCCTCCACTGGTAATGCATTTGTTCAAATTTCTGACTGAGGTCCTGGCGTCCTTTTTTATTCGAGCCAGTCGTTGTCGTCTTTGTGTCCGGCCCTGGGAGCCTCACAGGATCGCTCCGGCTCGAAACGCTGCGCAGAAAGGTGGGGTCTAGGGCTCCGGGCGTGGCTTTTCACGATGGTGCAGTTTTTGTTCGATACGTCAGGTGTCAGGGCAGTGAGTGAGGCCAGGATGTGGCAAGAGGGGCAGACAAGCTTCCCTGGGTCTCCTCTCACTCAGGGGATGCAGCCTGCAAGGGTCGCCGTGCCGCTGAGGAGCCAGCTATGGGACGCCCAGTCGAGGTCGTCAAAGCCTTCGGCAGTGGCGCCGACGACCATTCCCGAGCGCGCGTTTAGCTAGAGGGAGAGCAAGAGAGGGAGACAGAAAGAGAGAGAGAGAGAGAGAGAGAGAGCGCGAGAGAGCATAAAAGTGCAAAGCTAGGGCGAAGGCTCCCGCAACTCTTTGTAGGAAAGCCGAGCTCTTGAGATGGCAGCCCGAAGCTCGAACGTGTCTGTGCTTGGCTGGTGGGCGGTGCTTCGGCCTTCACCCCAGTCGGGAAGGAAAACAGCATGATGGCCGCTCCTTGGTGTCCTCCTCCTTGGTGTCCTCCTCCTTCTTGGCCTTGTCGGCAACCTCGGCCGCCTCCTTCTTCTCGGCCCCGACGATGTCGTCCTCCGGCACAGCAGGGCCCAGACGAACGACGCCCTCTGCTGCCGGCCGTGGGAACCAGTGGCCCTCAAAACCGTCACCCCTCCGCGGCATTTCCAAAACCTCCATCGGGAACAGAAAAGCGCACCGGCCCCACCCGGGCCTCCCATCGGCTGGGGGGGAGGAGGGCGGAGGAGGGCGGAGGAGGAGGAGGAGGAGGAGGAGGAGGAGGAGGAGGAGGAGGAGGAGGAGGAGGAGGAGGAGGAGGAGGAGGCCTCCCCCAGAGGTTCGGGCCGACGAGTGCCTTCGCACGCTGGTCGACCAGCGGGGGCCCGATGGGGGCGAGGCCGAGGCGGGGCGGCCCCAATCGCAGGGGTGTCCACGACGAGGGGCTGCGGCCCGAGAGGGGTCGCCCGCGAGGCCACGGCGGGCCGCGGCGGCCGTGCAGCCCAGCGGCGGGCGACCGCCTGCGAGGAGAGGGCTCCGCTCGTGCAGCGCCGGCGGGGAGTTCTCACCCGAGGCCGCGCCCGTCGCGGAGGAAGGCGGAGGGCGGCTCGACGGAGAGCTGGTCGACCACGGCACTGCCGCCTCCTCGCGTGCCGCTGCAGTCCGCGAGAGTGGCGCGCGCCAGGGAGACTTCCACAGGCAGCAGAGCTTGCACTGCGCCGTGGATGCTCCGCCCCACCTGCACTCTGGTGCCCAAACGCACTTTTTTCATGCGGGGCCAACCCCACCCACAGGAAGGAAGCCAGCCCAAAGTCCCCCCCCCCCCGGATCTGAAGGCGCTTCGCGAACAGAAGCCACGATTCACCTTGGAACCCATGCCAAAGAGGTGTGAGGCAACTCTCATCTTGAAGCCTTTGCATCCCTGATGACACCCTCGCTGCGGCAACCAGGTTGCTGGATGATGCCGTGCGCCTGTAGCT